ATTTCAATCTTTAAATGAGATTCCACTCCAAAGAATTTAAAGAGTAGAGTCTCCACGATCACAAAGAGACGTAAGATTTATTTTCGCGCCAACAAAGGGCCATGAGATCTCCGATGAGACTCCGAGTCCTTGAACATGAAGTGGAGGCTGTTCGCAATTCACGATCGTTTATCCGGCGATGCTCTCGATCTTCTGAGACTCGAGTCACTCGAGGCAAGGCCCGGCAACGACGACGACGATGACAGTGGCGATGGCGATGACGACGATGATGATGATGATGATAATGACGGTGATGATGGTGGCGGTCTCGACGTATCTAATCACGTTCGATCGCGGAAAACGCATCTGCGGAGAGAAAGAGAGAAAACATGCAAGGTTCAGGATATTACTCACTTGCTCCTGCTCGGCGGTTAACGTGGCTGCCATTTTGGCTCAACGCGCTGGCATGCCCAAGGAGGAGGCGTGTACCACAAGAAGCGGAGAACGCGCGGCGCGTGGCGTAGCTCTTGGAATTATATCCAGTCCCGGTGCCGCGCACGTACGTCCGCAAAAGCAACAAGCATTCTGTTACGTTTCACGCACCGAGAAAGCAACCCTTCTTCCCCGCGTTCTTGCGCGCAACGCCACTAGTCCTTACAGAGCACAGCCACCCTCGGCGACGACGGCGGTGGCGACGACGGTAACGGTAGCAAGAAACGGTAAATCACCCCGGCGCGCGACCATTGTTCCACCGTCTCGCACGCATTCGAACGCGAATGTGACACTCTCCTCTCCGCTCCGCTCCGACAATCCGGCTCGGCGCGCCTCGGCTCGACTCGATTCACTCGATCGTCTTCCTCTCGGCGATCGCGCCGCCATCTTAAGGCAAGCGCGCGCGCGCGCGCGCGTGTATGCATGAGATAGTATGCGATCGTTGCTCGGAATTTTTTAAAAGTAAAATAATCGTTAGATTCGTAGAGCTGATAAGATTATTTTTAATTTGTCGATAATCGGTGTTATTTTTATGACAATCACGAATTTGTGTTAAAGGGTCTTGACGTTCGATAATGAAATACGAAAGTATCACGTGATCGTTATCACGTTAGCAAAAAAATTTTTTTAAACTTATCCTGGCGGAAAATGTTGCTGAAATTATTCCACGTTTTGGAACATTTTCCAACAAAATTTCAGTTTAATTTCAGCGATTTTTAGTTGAAAAATTCATTTTCGACAAAATTTCAGAAAATTTCAGAGAAATTTCGGTTGAATTTCAGTGATTTTTCAGTATGTTAGCTGAAAAATTCACTTTCAGTGAAGTTTCAGCAAATTTTCAGCAATTTTGCTGAAATGTTTCAAAACATGGAATAATTTCAGCGAAACTTTTTCACCAGGGTTATGTCTACATTTCTATCAATATAATTTAATTTTATTCTCAGTTTAATTTAATCTTTATCTTTTTCTAATCCTGAGAACTATAAAAGGATAGAAAATAAGTTAAACGGAAATTGAAATTATGAAGTTAATCTACATTAGTAGAAACATAGGACGCTTTCCATTTGGAGACACAAATTGACACAAGTGTCGCTTTATCTTTATTTCTTATTGAAATGCTAAAAAAAATAGAATGTTTGTGCTGACTTGTGTCACTATATCGAGTAAATAGAAAGCACTCATCGATATTACATGTACAAATACATTCTCTAAATTTTGTAGAATAGAATGTTATTCTAAAGAATGAAAATTGAGTCAGTCAAACGTGAGATTACTCTAAAAGTTTAAAGAGCATGTATATATATGTGTGTATAAATATATATATGCTCTAAACTTTTATATGTATATATATATATATTTATCTTTGTTTAAAGATAGATCGCATTTTTATAATTGTGTGTAATTATTGCAATATAGTACAAAACTCTATCATAAAATCATTATAGTAAATTTAAATCATGTTCAATGTTACCTGTTAATAAATTGACATCAATATCCTTCTCCCGATATACGGGGATCCTTTTCCACAAAAAAATTTCAGTTCTTAGATATTGAGATACTCGATTACAATATAATGCAATATTATAATGTGAAATTAAAATTAAATTTCATTTCTGTTCAAAATAAGTACATTGCACTGACAATTGTATTAAAATGACTGTTTTCTCTGACAAAAAGAAAACTTATCCTTACTGATAATCAATATATAAAAAACGTATATTTTTGCTAAATGGGAAAACTCAAAATTATTTCAAAATGTCAAAAGCAATTATTAACGTAATCAAATAGCTTAAAAATGTAGACGAATTAAAACTTATCCTTACTGATAATCAATATATAAAAAACGTATATTTTTGCTAAATGGGAAAACTCAAAATTATTTCAAAATGTCAAAAGCAATTATTATCGTAATCAAATAGCTTAAAAATGTAGACGAATTAAAACTTTGAGAATAAATAGATAAATTTCTATTTTATCAATTCCAAGTGAGAACTTCAGATTCCTTAACGTAACTCTTCCTTCCTTAACTCTTAATCTTAACTCTAAATTTTGGAGTTTTAATTTCCAGATTCAATTGCCGGAGTTTAATTGAAATTTTAAAGAATCGCTAAATTCGCCTACATTTCCATGAAGAAATCGTCCATAAAATAATTCTTCCATTCGTCTCGTGACTAAGGGTGGTAATAGACGCAATGATCCAAACGCCAGTGTTTCGTAATATAAACATTTTTTTTCTTATTCAAACGTATGGTTCTTACATTTACACAGTACAAAAAATTATACTCAGACCTGCCGGCCCGCGGTTCATAACTGCTATGACTGGGGGCGGCCGTTGGTTGCAGGAGGGGACGCAGGGGGAGGAAAGGGGGTGGATATAGCGCACAATTTTTTCTTTTTTTTGGGGGTTGGATATACACACATCTTGCGGGAGATCGAAGGTCTGTACATCATTTTAGATACCGTCCATTCCACTCCGCCCCCAATACACGGCCCCTCGTTCTCTCATTCTGTCGCATTTTCACTGGATCGCCACCACGCATACTCACACACAATCAATTATACCCTTTATTCTCTCTTTCATTCATACACATTCTTCTTTCTTGCTCACTTTCTCATTTGTCTACTCTGCGTTACTGTTCCGATATTCTTTCTTTCTTTTTTTCCCTCTTTTAATCATTTACACTCGCGCGCGTTCATGTTTGTCGTTCTCATATTCAGCAACATTTAAATATCGTATTTTCCGTAATAATTAAACGTAATAATGATAATATATAATAATTATAATAATGGTATAATAAACTATCTACCTACGCGTGTAAGGTGTATCTTCTCGTGTTTCGTAAAGGTTTGCGTATCTTTCTATCGTTACGAATCCTAGACACTCTTCCCGCCTTCGTATTTATATCTGTATACATATACGGATGTATATAAATGTATGTACATATACACGTAGCAAGAGGACAAACAATAGCATCTCGTTTTGCAGCAATAATACACAGAAATACGTCTTCCTAAAACTTTATACAACACCGCCGTTGTGGAGTTAGTACTTTTTGCTTGTTTGTAGCTTATATAATTCCCACAATCGTTACCTATCAACACTAAGATATTTTAAAAATTTACTCGTTAAATATTAATCAAGTCGTTGTATGCTAGACGAATGTTGAGATCAAAGAAATTGCGGATTCCAGGATGCCAGTGATCTTTTTTTTTTAATTCTTTTTCTTCTCTTCCGTTCGCTCTTTCTTTTCTTTACACTGTGTCAAGATTATTCGTCGATGATTATTATCTGACAATCGGCGCAAAAATGGTGCGTAACGACGTTTTGTTCGATTCGAGAGCTGCTGTGTCTTGTAATGTCGCAAGTTATAAGTATGAACATTGATCTCGGAAAGTTTCGTCATTTTCATATACATATTTACGCTTACGCAACGTCCATCAAAACGAATTTCAGCGAAAAGGAAAAAAAACGGAAGCGACAGCAGTTTTCGAATCGTCAGTGACAGTCCGATTAGCACGGAATATTGTCGTTCGCACGAACTGTCATGAAATGATAGGAACTCGGCCCTGTCATCTCTGTGAATTCTGCGTGACTAATTAATTCTCTTTCCTTCGTTCTTTTCTTTCTCTTTTTTTACTTACGCATACACGAATACAATACAACGCGCGCATACTTAACGTCCCACGTGGTTCAACATTGGCACTTCGAAAGTCATCCTTTTTTTTCCTTTAAATGTTACTGCAAATAATTTTATCTTTATTTAGCGTCTCAGCATCTCTCATTACAATTACATTATCGCTGTCTTTTCATTTTATCGTCCAACATAGACGGTTTGTATACGCTTTGACAAAAATAACATATTCATCTTATTAGTACTTTCCCGACCGTTACACGCCGGGTAGTCACTGGGTTACGACAACAATGAAACGTTCAATTCAACAGTGTTTCACATTCGCCGTTACATCTCGAAAAGTTAATATCGGACAAATTGTATATTTCTTTTACTTTTTTTTTAGTTCTGATATCTTATACTTGAAGTGATATACAAAACTTGTAGTTCACCCCGTCGCTCATATAACCGATACATACGTCGCCATAGAAACACAATGCATCTCTACAAGAACGTTGTTCTACAAAAATGTTTACTTAAACAAAAAAAGAGAAATGCGAGAAAGGTCTGTTTCTTCCATTGTCGTCGAACCAATTAATTAGGCAGTGTTTTATTTTTTTTACGCCCTTGTTGCGTGAAACATAGAAGACATGAACGCGAATACGTATCGGCTATCTCTAGCCGGGGTTTTGATCAAATACCGAAAAGCACCAGATCTCAGAGCAGACGATTAAATGGATCCGCAGTTATTGCTGTGATCCAGCTATAATAATTTATAGTCACACCTAATTGCACAAAGGTACTTCTAGACGAACCCCCCCTTTTTCTCCCTCTTTCTCTCTGGTAGTTGCTAGCAAAAATTATTACACAATATTTCAATTATCTACATTTATATAATATAGACAAGTGTATGTGTGTGTATGTGTATATGTGTAAATGAGTGTATGTATTGGATACAGGCACGATATAATTAATTACAAATAAATGTATACGATCCAAAGTCCTTCTTATATCACAATAGTAATGGACGCGGCGTTTTATCTATGCGCGATCCGAGCTACGATTTTGTTTTCACTCGTAATAGAGCAGCTCATCGGACTTCATGTCCGCGGGTACCTTTTCTCGCGGAGAATGGGAGAGCAAAAAAGAATTGTATATAAGAAAATTCGAATGAAGCAATATGCAACTAATGTTTATTGGCTCAGCCAATACCGCAAATCAAATCCTCCGATTAAAATCATTAAATCTTCATCACAAATATCACAACAAATTCTCGCACCTCCGCAACGATCTTTTTGCAGCAAGGGCGGTCTTCTTCTGCAGATTCTTCCGGTTGCGTCAACTTCGCTATGTCCGGAAGCGCTGACTGCGATCGATCTCGTACGAACGAAGAGATCCAATCAAGGGGATTATCAATCGGTCTTATGACCGTTCGGGGAAGACCTAAGGCTAAGTCTCTTCCTTTGTTTTCGTTTCATTGTTAGCCTTGGCGAGTTTAGCGAGAGTATCCTCCTTAACATTGGCTAAAACGGTCAGAGAGTCTTTCACGGCATGGTAAATAATGTTCTTGATTTGAAGCTTATCCTCGTGATTCGTATGGGTATCGGATAGTGCACGGAATTCCTGGGTCAAGTGGAAGCAATGCGAAACGTTCTCCGGCGACACAAAGTCCTCGGCCACCTTTATACAGTTTTGAAGATTACGGACCTGATGTGGCGCGCCAGCTGGCACGAATACTGCATCGCCTAGACACTGGACGATAGCGTACCTGCAATAAGATATTGAACATTATTTTAATAAAATTACTACAATCAACGTTCTCTCTTCCAACAAATTCTTTGAAGAATTATTTGAGAGCATGTACTTCGTAAAAAGCAACACTTACCCTTCAACGCCATATTCTCGATACAATCGCTCCCGCAATGGTCCATCTAAATAGCAACTTTGATCGTGTATAGGATCGTGGTGAGGTTCCAAACGAGCTCCGCGTTCTAAGGCAACGGCATTCAGAAGATCTCGAATTTTGTCTGCGTCACGCGCTGCGTAAATGTGCCACAGAGCACCAGGCACATTCTCCTTCTCTTCGCGAGCACGTCGACGCGTCAGAATATCACAGCCTGCTTCGTCTATCGCTCTCATCGCCTCTGTCCTAGCTGTGTGATCTAAACGTTAAAATCATTCATTTTCAAAGACTCAATTATTACTTCGACAAGAATATTAGCGACGCAAACGGATACTTGATTATGCGTAAAGATATGAATACATACCTTTGACACTTTCCTCATTATTAACATCCTTTGGCATTCCTACGTATACCATAACGTTCACGGCATCCGAGATATCAAGATGAAGATTAGTCGTGCCTTTGTTGGAATGAAGAGCGGAACCGTAAGCGTTATACATCTTTGGACCCAGATCCGGTCTCACAAAGCAATTAGGTAGACGACTCGCCAAATTTAGCCTGCCGTTTCTATGCGTATACTCGGACAATGGAAGAACTTTCATCAGATCCGTGAATCTCGATGGTAATAATTCGGCGAAATCATCACCGGGCGGCCAGTCCTTCAATTTCAACAGCATAGGATTTCCTCGCTCGTCCTTAAGCCGCTTAGAAGAGTACTCGAATCCTTCCCAGAACTTGCGCATTGGTTGATTCGGCACCAGATTGCCGGTCATACAGTTAACGAGATCGTTCTTCTCATCGCCGAAATCGCGGGCGAATGAATCAGGATGCCAGAGATTCTTGTCCAACGCCTTGGCGACGTCCGACACAATTACCGGCTGTCCTCGCTTCCACTGATCCTGGAATATTCTGTAGTTGTTTGGATTATTCGGGTCGCTTAACCTCAGCAACTTGCCGTCGCAGAGCCAAGAGTGTGGCACGTCTGGATAAAGACTCCGACTCTCTGTACCCGTCATAATTCTGATTGGTAACGGCTCACGACCGCGTTGTGTCCACTTGTAGCGTCGTACGAAGTGTTTCAATTCCCGTGGCTTTTCGTCATCCAGACCACTGTCCTTTTCTTTTTTCACGCTGTGTTCGATCACACTAGATATTACTTCGTCAAGCGTATCCATTTTCGACTTTTTGCCAGACTTGGCGACGTTATTCTGCGGAGCGTTATTCACACCACTGGAATTGTTCGTAGGTGAATTCGATCTGGATCCGCCGCTACCGTTTGACTTGTGCGACGGCCTTATGAGCAACTCCCGCAATGTCGAGTAATTACCCTCACGATCATCATCCGAGTCCGAGTCCGAGCCGCTATCGTTTTTGTCCTGATTCTGCAGTGCCACATCGGCCAACCAGTTCAGCGGTGAGTTTTTGTCCTCGCCGTTGGTCTTGCTCTCCGATGAACCGTTAGATTCATTTATCTTCTCCTCTTTTATCTCCTGTTTCACGTTACCATTAAGAATGGGCACAGAATCACCTTTGATCAGATTTCGAAGGATCTCGTTTGATTGCGTCGAAGTTACGAGGGAGCAAACACAATGTTGCGGAATTCCCCATTCTGCACGACATTCGTGTAGACGTTGACCCAGTCGCAGAAGACTGTCGCCGGCGATGATTTGCGTAAGCATGAGTCGTTCCGGTTCGTGCACTTGCCTATTCGTACATAAAAGCCACGAAAAGTCGTCCCTGTCTTTTCCACTCTCGCCCCAGATTTTGACCGTTCCATTTTTACGTCCCTAAATATTAATACATTTCTATCAATAAATCTCCTTTAAAAGAGAAAGAAATTTTAACTGTTATATTAATGTCAGTATTAAAAAGCTCGATAAAATATCATGTGATATCAATTGAATTAATTATCATCATATAATTCCTAGCATTTAACTGGAAAGAAAAATATATATATATTTCACGCAACTTACCTTATAACAATCAATGCACACGACAAAGCCGCATTTGCCACAGGCCCAATGGTAATTGAACAAGGTAGTCTCGCACACGTCGCACATTTCTCGAACACCCTGGATCACTCGTTTCCACGCTACTGTTCCGTCTACAACCCCCGAACTCGCTGTCAAAAGGTAATCATAATCGATGCGCAAAGCGTTAAAACATGCGAACAAAAGAAATTATGCAAGCCACCATGCAGCCTGATATTTAAAGTTATAGTTTTGCAAAATGGCATATTGAATTATTATATATACAAAAAAATTAGTGTGAATAATGCATGAAAAATCAGATGTATTGAAAATAATGTAATATTGATGATGATATTAATTTTAATAAAAGTTATTACATGCGCCACATTTGTTTTAATGATGTATAACATTTTAATTATATGTATGACTTGATGTATGAGTTGATTGATACGAAAATTATGGGGGGTCAGTTCCGAAAAATATGTTGTAAAAAGAACAAAATGTTACCTTCAGCCATATGTTCTTGGAGGGCGTTCTTCTCTTGATGTAAAAGATCACAGAATTGATCGCCAACTTGCCAAAGCAGCCGATAAGCCGTTTCTAAGTCTAGGTCCTCTCGATCTCCTTTGTCCTTCTCGTTCTTCTCGGATTTGTCATCCTTTCCTGTTGTCTTTTGGTTATCTCCTCCTGGTAACCATAATCGAAGATCATCCTGTAACATTGTAACGATAGTTCTCCTTTGAGAGCATGCATCTCGAATTAAAACTACAATGCCTGTATCAACACTAGCAATTAGCGATTAAGTTCCTTAATCAGAAAGGAACAGTTAGCGAACATCTTTTTGATTAGTCAAAAGACTCAAATACGAACGTAGAGTGTAGATGCAATCACCAATCGGTAGTATGATACAGACATAAGACTGACTGTTCGTCTTATTTTAATTCGTTTTATAGTAATTTAATTATAATGCTATTACAACATATAAGTGTTGACCATGTTGATCTTCGTAATTTACCTCGGACGCGTCTTTATGTGGATCACTGAATCCCGCTATGGCCAATTGTCCGTTTTTGGTATAACGCAGCCTGCGAAACGCGTAGAATCTGCAGAAGATATTCTGAGAGTTCTTGGAGCGCTGGTTCGGCGTCCATCGGCACTCGCGACACTTGGCCAATTTCGTAGCCACCTCGAAACAGGCGCCGTCTTGCAGCCAGCTCTCGCCGGATTTTTTCAGTTGCGATATCGTCGGTTTACGAAAGGACTGTCCACCGCTTCCACCCGGACCGTTGTTACTGCCGCTCGTACTGTCGTCCCTGCGTTCCTTTTTTTGACGGGGTTGTTGGTCCTCGCCTCCCATGTCGTTGTTTTTCGTACTCTTTGGTCTCCTACCACGTTTCCTAGGTTCCTTGTTATTTCCTGCATAACAAATCATGCATCTCGCTTCATCAGAAAGTCTGTTATCATCCTAATTGTTATGCGCAATTTTATTATTAGAGTCATTCAGTGTTAAAAAGCTCGTAATATAATATCATAATATTATCAATTATTTTATGTTATCATTATGTATATAATATTTTTAAAATATATTGTATGTGCATCTGAGTGCAATGATAAAATCAGGAAACAGGGTAAGTGCGTGAGATCGAATTAATGAAATTTGAAAGAAGGTAAGCGAACTCGAAAAAATCAAAGATCCAAAAATTTCTAAAAAATCTTCCTTTTTCGATCAAAAATGAAATTTAGCAAATTAAGTGTAATTCAATTTGCTTGTCAATCACTCGTGATTCTCTCGAGTTCTCGTACATCTCTAAAGACAAGAATAATCATACGATCATGGAACACGGATCACTTACCCTGCAAGTGAATAGTTAGTTCACCTGACGGGAAGTCCATTTACAAGAAGCTACGTCAACTAACCGTTTCCCGAGGAATTGTTGGAATTGGCCGTGGTGTGTCGAACCCTCGACGCAGGCTGAATAGAGCTCAACTGTTCGCTGGTGTCGCTGGAGCCTGCCTCACTCTCATTGCTGGACTCGCTGCCCGCACCGCCGCCTTGCTTGTCCTCCTTCCGCCTCCGCTGATCTTCCGCGGCCGTTTGTTGCCTCCGTGCGGCGCCCTTCTTTCGTTTTACCTACCACAGGGCATAGATTATTAAGTAGTCAGGAAGTTCATGCTCTTGCCGCATCTACTAGCCGAAGCTACTAAACTGGCCACACTACTGCTTCAGCGCTACCATTTGGCACATCAAGTTTAAAGATCTATGTAAACCTAAGCAAAAATGAAAATTACATCACGCATAATAATATCTAACCAGCTCTCTATATCAAACACAATTACATTCACACAACCTCTTGCTCGTTATGAATCTATTTATTCACAGTTGCCTTCAATTACCATTTTATTCTTGAATGTTTATAAGCTTTTAAAGTATTTCTAAATTAAATAACACAAATAAAAGTATAATCTTCTCCCCTAAATTTCCTTTTCTGAGATGGAGCACCGAACAATGCTTCTTTTCAACGTCTTGCATGCTTAGTGCAATACGACTATTTTTTTGGAGCAAATTCAATAGTCTGCTAAAAAATCACGAATCTATTGTAAATACAACTTCATTTGACTGCGGAATCACCGGTAAAAGCGAAACTACTGTGCCAGCGTCCCGATCACCTTGCGCGAATGGAGGTTAGGTCACGATCGCGGCGAAAATTTTCAGTAACAGATATTTACCCCTCTGTAACATTTGTTCATGGTGAGTATTCTGTCACTCGCGATCGATATGCGGACACTCGTTGCGGAAATCCTGCCCGATGACTGGTCAGTCAATTGTTTATAGGAGTACGTGACAAAACACTTGTTACTCGCACAACGTCCATTACCCGTGATCACCTATGATTCATACACGCCTTACGTAGGAAAATGGCGCCCTTTGCGCGGCATTTAAACTCACTTTACGGAGCAGATTCTACAATAGGGTCCGACCAATCACAGCTCGAATATGAAGAGAATAAGCGATTACGACTGGTCAATTTTTTACATGGCTTACGATCCTATTGTAGAATTAGTCCAACGGACAAAAGTCCGTTAAAAAAGAAAGAGACTAGAGACTCGTTCTTTGTGACTCTAAGCTAGTATTATATTTAAAATGAAATATATTCAGATATTTAATACTTGGCCAATGAACTCGAGAATATACTAGAACGCTTACCACCGTAAAAAACAGCCGAGCTGACAAAGAGTTTAATGCTCCTGTTTTTATAATAGTTTAACTTTAATTTTGATTCAATTACTTTATCTTTTTCTAGTTCTAGGCATTAGAAAAAGATTATTTAATAAATTGAATTGAGATTAAATATTATCTTAAACATAGAAAAACATAGTTCTATTGCTAAAAAAATAATTATGTAATTTACTTTTAAGTACCTTTATTTAATAAGCAAATTATAAATTTGTTTTAATTTAATTATCTAGATTGAAGAATTAAAAATTAAATAAAAAAAAAAAGAAAAAACTTATTAGGATTTTTTAAAAATATTTTTTGAATAAATTTAATTGTTGTAATGAATTTATACAATAAATTTGCGGATTTATAAACTTTTAAAATGTTTAAAACAAGCAATTATTATTTACGTACAGTATGTATTTTTTGTGCATATATTAGTGTGAAAATAGACATTAAAGGTAATTTTGCTTTTTTTTGTTTCTTAAAAAACATACTTATACATTAATACTTTTTAGGCTTCCACGGGTACTTTCTAGAAGTTATGCGTTTCGTAAGTTATCTCCGTGATATCCATTCTTGGAACGCCAACGTTGCAGTTCAACTGTAACGTTCACGAAACGTTGGCGTTCCAAGAATGCATATATAGACGCGGAGATAACCCGCGAAACGTACTACGTTCTCGATGATTCGAGGCTCATGGAGATTTCGATTATTCGCACTACATTGAACAGTATAAGTTAAAAAGGCTACTTTATTTAAGTATTTAAATAATGGCATAATATAATTAACTTTCAAATAAATAAATTTAAGATAAAATTAAGCTCTCGAGATTAACAATAAAATATATAATTAATGACAGGCGATTAAGAGCAAAAAATTAAGATGCAGTTATTAAAGTGTTATACGTTAACAATATTATAATTAACTTTGATAATATTTTGTTAAATAGCAACAAAATCGTTATTAAGTAATTAATTGTTTAAAATATTTATGTACCTTTACGTTTAATTTTGTTAATTTCATGCATATCTCTTTTGAGTTCCAGTTTGTCGAGCAGAATTATCCTCTCTTCCAATGTTGTAAGCGTTCTAGTAAGTTCCATAATTCTATAATTCCATTTGGCGAAAGCCTTTAAAAATTAAGTGGCTCTTGTCTTACGAAAGGCAATACGGAAAAGCAGAAAAATGTAATCAAAATCTTCGAGATGTAGAAATGAAGAACTCGATATACACAATGCACGATTTTGATTCGGCGGACACCAACAACAATTCTAGATAATGCAAAACTCGGACCGAAGCCGATCCTTCCACCTCGACCGATCTCTGAAGACTGATTTGGCAAAGGCAAGGAGTCCAGACCAATGCAGCAACAAAGAACAGGTCAGTTTCCATTTTGAAACCCTGGCTTTGTCCTTTTTGTCTGATCTTCTTGTATAGGTCATCTGTTCTCTTTTTCTTTCCAATGTGAAAAGAAAAAGAGAAAAAATGTACAGTCGGAGGCATTCCAACTGTCTTAAGCGTCCTACGCTGGAATTTGCTTTCATACCTCAGTCCCAGAATTGCCAGGTCAATGAAATACCAATCCCTCGCCAACCACAACGACAACAAAAGAAAAGGAAGTTTCACCAATTTATTCACTGCTAGTAGTAAAAGTCTATAGTGCACGTAACGTATACTATATAGATTTTCAATACTGATGATGAATACTAAGGAAGGAACATTAGCGACATTACAGACGGAGCGATCAATTTTCATATGTTTTTGGACATTCTAGAAATCGTTGGTGCCTATTAAAATTTTATGCCCTTCCAAATTTTGTGTCTTACTTTGTGGAGAGTATCTTTTCAATGCCTCATAAACCTCCGCGTGTATAGTACAAGAAGTTTAGCTAAAAGAGGCCCTATTCTTGAAAAGAAACTTATACGAAATTCTAAAATACTATAGTACATGTAATGTATACTGTAGTATTTTCCTAGACTTTCGTTTACGTTTCTTTTCAAGAAGAGGTTCAGGCCTTCTGTTTTTTGTCACAAATAAAAGCGCATGATTTAAATATACAATTCAAAATAGATATACAAAATAGAATATACGATTTTAAAGAATGATTCTTCAGCGTTTCAATTTTTTAAAATTAAATTTATTAATTAATATATAATCTAATAGGAATGTACACTATAATACAATATTTTTAATATTTATTAATATTTATTAATATATAACGCGACATTCCGGAGGAAAGCCTAAGTACCGTTTTATTTTAAACAAACCTTCCCCTCCCTTCGCAAGTGAATATATTAATTAATAATAAATAATATTAAATAAAATAATTATCAATATGGCTCAATCAGAATAAATCAATAGTTAAAAGAAGGGCTACGAGCCAGTTACAACATAAAGAATAATATTAAAAAATTCTGTTATGGTATATTCCTATTTGATAATACATCAGTTAATAATAATATTAAAAAATTTATCTTTGAAATAAAAAATGTTCAGTATATTCGGTTTAAATATAACATTTTAATATGAAAAGAAGTACGAGTACTCGAGCTCGGTTTTTTCTTCATAACACAAAATGATCAACATTTTTTTAAACTGCAAATATTCTCGATAAAGAGTTTTTCCTTCTATGATAGTTGCAAGTTAAGAACTACGGCATAGCAAACAAAACTACTACCTACTGCATATTCATGCTTCTATAATTTCTACAGGTTTTTTACGAAATTTATTACCTGAAGTTACGATACTAATACACAATAACAAACTTCATCAATTCTAATGACTATATATGTAATTAAGCACGTAATTAAGGTTAAAGTTTTTACTAAACTTAATGCTCACAATTATTTATGGAAATAGTCATTTATAAATACTGACTATAAGATAAAAAAATATGATATCAAAACATTTAAAAATGTTCATATGTAAAATATAATATCTATTATAGAATTTCAAGAAAATATAAATCAATAATTAATATTTTGCTATAAGAGTCATTGGGTAATATATTATTAAAGAACATAATTTTAAATTAAAACTTTGCACAACCAATACAAACGTATAAGATATAATACTGCACATATTTCTGGCATCAAGAATTTCAATCGAAAATAAGATCTAATGATTACTGGATTTAATGATTAGTCTTCATTCCTCTTGTTATTATATATTATTACAAAATTATAGGTATATTTATATAATTTATCGTAAAGTCACATATTCAATGAGGAAAAATAAAGTTTTTGGGCACAAGCGAGTACTAAACTACCAGCACAGCATACACACTCCAAATTCAAATAATGACTTTTAGCGATAACAGGAGCTACCATAAGCGATCTGTATAAATAGATACCTTGGGTGGCTTCCGTTTAGGCGGCGACTTCCTCTCCGGGTCGCTGCTAGACGAGTCCTCCTGTGGAGTCTTGCTGGTATCAGTGGCGTGACCATTCAGCGACTCCTTGTTCGCCGGTTTTCGGCCGCTCCTGCCAGTAACTTTGCTCTTGTTGATGCTGTTTACCGCCATGCTACCGATATTGTGGATCGAATTAACCGCGCTGGGCAAACAAGTAGTCGGCGCATTGTCGCGGTTCTTACTATTCGTGGACGTTGTCTCACGGGAGATGTTGAGAGGTAACGTAATGCTGCCGGCCATACTGATAGTGTTCTCGGTGCCGTCTTCGCACCTCGAGTGTCTTTGCAACCACGCCTTTTTCAGTTTATGTACTGGGTAGTTGGTGCTGCTAGGAGGTCTCGGTGCCGGACTGTTACACTTCTCGCTGTCCGTGTTACTGGGGTTTGTCTTGGCGGGTGTACCGGGCGCACTGGGCGCCGGACTGGGTGCTGTGGACGGCGCCGGGCTTGGGATGGGCGCCGGACTTGGTGCCGCGCTCACTGGCGTTGGATTTAGCGAGCATACGCTGCCGGTGCTAGGGGGTCGTACGGAACCGTCGCCGCTCGCATTACCCGGAGCCGGACTCACCGCTGTCACTGTGCGTTGCTCCTGCGTTGCCTGACTGTTTGGCTGCGCCAGCAATGCTGCAGTGTTGACAACTGTAGTGATAGATGTAGCGGCTGAAGCGATAAGCGGGCTGGGCTCGCTCACCCTGGAAAGAACGGGCGGACCAACGGATTGTAAGGATAATGGTTGTGGTTCCTCGGTCCTTCGCTTCTTACAAACTTCTAACGACACCGGCTGGCCGCTGGTATTATCGCATAACAATGGCGTCGGTGCTTTCCTCTTCGGTGAACCCGATCTCTCCACACCGAGATCGAGCGGTTGCGTCTGGAAGGCCGTGGTGATCTGGGGCTGCGCGTGCTGTAACGTTTGACCGGGTTGTTGGTGCGGGCTGGTATTGAGATGCGCGGAATGAGCGATCGGCCTTGTGAGCGGAGCCGAGGCGGCCGGGGGCGGCGAGCCATGCAACGTCGGTGGCGGCAGTTTCGCGCCCGGCAATGAGCCGGGGAAGCGACTGTCGTAAACGGACCGGCTGTGCGCGGGTGGCGGCAACGGTGGCGGCGGCGCCCCGTGATGATGAGGCACTTGCTGGTAAGGCGAGCTGCCGGCCTTCGAGGTCAGCGGTATCGGCGCGGCGACAGGCGTTTCGGAGGCACGGCAGACCGGCGTGCCGGCTATAATGCCGCAATTAGTAATACCGCAGTTAGGCTTGCCGTACATGTGCGGCGGTGCCGGGCTGCTGACTTTCGGCTTCGAGCCGGCCGGCGGCGGCGCGGCGTAATGCGACGACGTCGTCGACGAGGCCGTGGGCGGATGCGGATGCGGGTACGGATACGTAGACTTGGCCGCGCCGTACGGCAGACCCGCAGATTCCGGCCTGCTGAGATAGCGCGGTTCAGGGGGCGATGGATGCGGCGGCG